GGGCAGAAGCTGGGAACCCTATTTTGCAGGTGAGAAAACTGAGATCTGAGAAGCAGAGTGGCTGTCCCAGCTGGCGGGCAGACTCCCGGAGAGATTTAAGAGCTGGGCTCTGGTGTCCTGTAGGCCTAAGGTGAATCCTGGCTGTGAGACCCCGAGCTTGACCTCTCTGGGATGCCTAATCTGTAAAAGGGGGTTGCTGAGAGTATCTCCTCACAGGGGGGATGTACGACTTAAATGAGATAGAGTTTGGAAAATGCTTAGTGCAGGGCCTGGCACACTTGGGGCACCCAACAGTCTGGCAATATTATGAATACTAATTGAGGCCTTCTGCCTCCTAAGCGTGCTCTCTTTCTACCACCACCACCCCCCGCCCCGCCCCATCTTTCTAAGGATTGAAGACAGCAGCTGGCAGTGGGAGGTGGTTGCTTTAAATATGAGATGAGGAGAACAAAAGGAAAATAGAACAGGGTGGTGGCTTATGGCTAAAATTGAACAATTCCCCTCCCAGACTTGGTGGAGGGGCCTGCAGGACACCCTCCGGTTTCTGCTCCCTGTTCCCAAAAGGAGCTAAGCCTTGCTTCACAACCTCTGTCAGTCCTGCTGCGGGGAGGGGGAGACGCTGGCCGGGGAGCCCACAAGCCAAGGGGACACCCCCTGCCTGCCCGTAGGCTCTGTTTTCCGGAGGAGCAGGAAGTAGGCTAAGTGGGATCCTGGAGCTTCTCTGCATCACTTCCAAGACAACATTAAATATTCACCAGAAGATTTCTGCACAGGCGCCCCGCGAGCTTCAGAGGCAGCCCGTCCCCTTGGCAGCGTGCGCGCCGCCTTGGATGCCACGGGCGCCATTGCCAAGTCCTTGCTCTTCGTCTTCTCCCACCGACTGCCTCGGTGCCCCGGCCCCCTCCCGCCACCACCCCCTCCCCCACGCCCTCCCCCGCGGGCCCCGGTGGGGTGACCAGCGTTTCATTCTCCCTGGCCGGCGCGCACTGCTCTCCCGGCAGAGGGCCGGGGCCTGTGACTTGGCCTCCAGACGTGTCCAGAGAAGGCTGCGATCTCCCCTACGCCGACTCTGGCTGGGCCCGGCAGAGGGGACTGAGGTGTCGGTGGGCGAGTCACCGCTGCCCACACACAGACGGCACCGGAGGTGCCGGGGCTGGTGGTGGCTGCAGGGCTGTGGTCGCTGCCACCATTAAGTGAATGCCGGGGGCTGCGGCAGGCCGAGCAGAGGTGAGGTGGAGGCCTGCTGCCGGCGGAAGGAAGCCGCTAGGAGCCCGATGGACGGAGGCGCGGACTGGCCGTGGGGACCCCAGCTCTCCACTGGGCGGGAGGTAAACAGCAGGCCTGTGAACACAGCTTGTGCCCTGACGAGCAGGGCCGCTGAGGCCGGCAGGCCGGGGTCTAGGTCCCGGCTGAAGTCGCTTCCTAAATGGACCTGGGCAAGATACCTCGCCCGCCCAGCCTCAGTTTCTTCATTTGTAAATGGGGACGGCGATCTCCACCTCGGAGGTCTGTTGAGGATACAGGACATCGCGGTCATAAGGGAGGGAGCCCAGTGCCTGCCAAGTGGGGGACGCTCAGCAGCTGGATGCTTCCTCGTTCTCAACCCCAGAAACCGCTCACCAGGCTTCCCTGGGGGCGCAGTGGTTGGGAGTCCGCCTGCCGATTCAGGGGACGCGGGTTCGTGCCCCGGTCCGGGAAGATCCCACATGCCGCGGAGCGGCTGGACCCGTGAGCCATGGCTGCTGAGCCTGCACGTCTGGAGCCTGTGCTCCGCAACGGGAGAGGCCACAACAGTGAGAGGCCCGTGTACCGCAAAAACAAACAAACAAACAAAAAACCCCTCACCTTCAGCCCATTCCTCCTCCCTCTGCCCTCTTGGGAGCTGCACCCCCAAATCCTCCACTGCCCTCCACATCCATCTCACCAGCTTCCTCAGGCCCCCGTTGTTCTGCACATGCCACTGCCCCCTCACCCGAGGGTGCCTTCCCCATGCATTCTACCATCTCATCCCTCCCCTGGAAATGCCACGGCCTAGTTCAATGCCACCTCCTCTGTGACACCTCCCCCAGTGCCCTGGGCAGTGAAAGCTGCTCCCTTCCCCGAACCCCACGCTCCCTCCCCACTAGCAGATTACTTAAATGCATCCTGCTTTTCTGCTCCTGGGTCTGCCTCCCTCAGTGGACTGCCAGCCACTCACTGCCAAGGCCAGTGTGTTTCGACGCGTTCCGCATCATCACGACCCTCTCCTGTTGCAGCCCCTGTCAGCAAATGCTTGTTGAATCGCTGGCCACGAGCAGGGAGGGGCCTGTGAGGAAAGTCAGGGTGACCACGGCTGGCACAGGTCTCAGGGAGCAGAGGGAAGGAAAGCCACCGAGGCCAAGAGGAGAAGTGTGGGAAACACAGCTGCGACGGCCCCGGGTCACCTGGCTCAATCTTGACAGTGGGCACATGGCCCTCTGCGAGGAGGGGCCCGCCGCAGCAGACAGAAGTGGCACCACTGTACTGAGTGCCTGCTGGGGCCGGCACTCAGTACAGTGCCGGCTTGTAAAATCTTGCTGAATTTCCACCCCGTCCTGGGGAAGCTGGGTGTCAGCACCCCATCTCCAGCCGGGAAGAGAGCAGCACGCCCGAGCACGCACAGTGTGCACCACAGGGGTACCACCTGCTCCAGGTGCAGGCCTGAGACTCCCAGCAACCTCAGGAGCTGGTTCCTTTTATCCCCATTTTATAGACAAAGCAACTGAGGCACAGAGAGGTTAGGAAGAGCAGGGCTGGGCCTGAGCCGGGTCTGTGGACCTCAGAGCCCACACTCCCCACTGCCACCCCACCGCCTGGGATGCGGGCTGAGCCTGTCTTACTTTTTGGCACCCACGTGTGGCAGATTAAAGGAGAGAACAGCCGCAAAGCCGGCAGTTACTAAACCACAGCTATTCCAGGCCTCGGCACCCCCTCTCGTTGTACTCCCATCTGCACGCCTCGCCAATGTCCTGGCAGCACCCGGCGCAGCACAGTGCTCGGGCCGGCGCAGGTCTGAGGTCAAGGAGCTGCCCCCCGCGCCCCCCAAGTCCCAGAGGGCCAGGACCCACTCCACAGTCAGATCCAGGTGGTCAGCCTTGGGGCAGTGACCCTGACTTCTCCTTCTTTTCTGCCCCATCGCACTGAGCTCAGGACCCCACACGCACAGCAGCAACCCAGCGAGCACTGGTGAGGCTCCCAGCTTAGCCGCTCAGGTCCTTGGGCAGAGCTTAGCTGACTGACAGGATGCCGTCCAGCAGAGCTGCTGACAGACCCCGTTACAACTGGACTCAGCCTCAGGAGGCTGTGACTGGGCCAGCGGCCAGGACTGCCAGGTCTGAATGTCCTAGGTGGGCCATCTCAGGAGGCCCCGTGAGTGCAGGGACAGTGGGCTGGGGAGGACAGGCTGTCCCAGCTCTGCCCAGACCCGGCATTTTGGGGTGTGAGACTCAGATTCCGGAGCCAGCCCCTGAGCTGAAGGGGCTTCTCGGGCCTGCAGCACAGCCCCTCCTCCTCAAGCCACTTCCACCTCTGCGTTTATCCCCACAGTTCCTTGGCCTGGAGCATCTCCTCCCTGGGGAAAATCCCACTCTCCCTTCAAGAGTTGGCTTTCAGGGCTCACCACTCCCCCCCCACCGGAGGCTCCCCGTCACTCTCTGGGCTGGGCATGGAGCCTCCTTCCACCCCACCACGTCCTGTCCTCTCTCTTATTACACCACTTTTCACATCCAGTTGAAACAATCGGGTTCAAGTGTTCTTCTGCGATAGACTGTGAGCTCACTGAGGGCAGGGTCTGTGGCTTCTCCATCTTTGTGCCCCCACTCCTGGGGCCTGGCACTCAATGCTGCTGAATAAACATCTTTGAACTGAACTACATTATGTGAGACTGAAAACGTCTTTATAGTGGCTCAGTCTGGCCACCAAGGGTGTCTCAGTCAGCGTCCACGGGGCCCCATCCAACTGCGCTCAGTCCGCACCCGTGACGGAACGGGGAGGGGGCAGGGCCCGGGCGCGCGGGGCTGTGCCTGAGCACAGGGTTTCCGGCAGCCTTGTGGTCCGGCCAGAAGCTTCTCCGAGTTCCTGTGACCCAGCACAGCCTGAGGATACTGAGCCTGCCTTCACCCCAACCTCAAAAGATTGTAGATCAAGGTCAGTTTTTGGTTATTTTAATTGTAAAAACCAAGACATTCATATAAATAAGACCGCTGTGTAAAATAGGATTCACCCTTCTACTAAAACCCTTCTCCCCACACTCAAAAAGAATATAGAAAAGCCAGCAGAGATAGGAAGTACAAATCAGCATGCGGTCCCTGATGAGAAGTGGCAGGCCAGGTTTCCCTGCTGAAACAGGCCTCACGGCGAGGGCACTCCTGGCCCAGGCGTCTCACCGGAGGTCAGTGACACTTCGAGAAACTGCACAGTCACAGTTCCCACACCCTCAGCCACTGGTTACCAACTGCATGGGTGAGGCAAGGTAACAGGTTCATGCAGCCTGGCGGCTGGGGAGCGGGGAGCGGGGAGGGGGACAGGCTGCTTGGTCCTCACGTCAAAGCCCGGGGCTGTGGAGTTGTCAGCCCAACGAGATGCAGTGGCTTGTTCAGCCCGGGGTCTGGCTGGGAAAGGGGCTTCTGGGGTGGGGTGGGGGTCACCACTTCTCCGGAGGACAAGGAGAGAAGTGCCAGCGACCCCCGAGGACAGACTCCCTCTCGAGGCCATCTGCATACGGCCCATAAAGACGAGGACAGCGGACACCTGCCTGCAGTGCTGCGGGTGGGAGCGAGGGGCTCCCGGGCTGTGAGGGGTGAGCAGCCACCCGGGGAGGTGGGGCTGGCATGTCCCTGTGAGAGAAATTCCATCTCCCCCGCTCCTTCTACCCTGTCACATCTCCCCACCCCTCCCCTGCTGCCCCCTCACACCCTGGGACTCAGCATGAGATGGCTGCGAGCCTGGGGCAGAGATGTCAACGAATTCACACACTGCGCGCCGCTCAGGAAACGGTACCCAGGACAAGAGAAGAGAGCCCGCTTTCCTTTGGAAAGTCAGGAGCTGCCTGGGGCTGCTCCGCATCCCAGAGGAACAGCGGGAAAAGGCCTGCGGGGGGCGGGGGCAGGGGTGGGGGACTGTCAGGAGCACTTCCAGACACACACAGCCAGGGTCCCTCCAAAATACAGGTAGAGGAGGCTCTTCACCTCATGTGTGACCTCAAAGCCGAAGCCTTCGCCGACCACCACGTGCCAGGAGGAGCCGAACTTCTTGTCCATGGTCTCTTTGATCATCTTGGCGGCGCTCTGGAACCAAGAGGATGCTCATCAGAGAGGGAGGTTTCGGGAAGAGAGTGGGCATGAGTCAGCGCCTCTCCGGAAAGCGCAAGTCTTGGCAAGAGAAAGGCCTGTTGCCTGACATCGCTGTTCTGCTTACGGAACCTTCGGACAGGGTTTCCGCACGGGGACCCTCCTGCCAGGGGCTGTCATTACACAGGGACAGGAAACCAGAAACCACCTCATCAGTCAGAAGACACTGGTGAGCGGTAGAGCGGGCCTCGGGCCTGACACAGGGCCCCGGGCTGGAGCTCTGGCTCTGGCCTTAGTGCCCGCGTCCAGTGCCAGGGCCACAAGGCTGTTCTCAGCACTCAATGAACAAGGCCCCGGAGAGCATGCCGCAGACTGCACGGATTGCCATCGTCACCACGAGGTGTCAGGCTTCCCCTCAGGGAACAGAAAGGCTTTTCCCTGATGGGCCTGGTGGGCTCTGGGACATAAGCTGGCCTGGCTCCCTCGGCTGCGGCAGCAGCTCCCTCCTTCCCGCGCTCACTCTTTCGAGAAGAGGTCTGGGGGTGGGGTGGAGGCCCGGCCTTTGCGGGGTGAGCCCCATGCTCAGGCACCTGCTGGGCACTGGCAGCACCCTCACCCCTAGGCCACTGGGTGATAAGAAATGGCCTGTGCAAGGTTCAAGAGCTAGGAGGGGCTGGAGATGGGATGTGCATGTGGGCCTCCCTGGCCCAAAGCCTGGGTTCTCACTAGCCAGGGTCGGCCTCACTCAAGCTGCCATGACACTGACTTCTTTCTTGCTCACCACCAGATTGATGAATGACATCGCTGTGTCGACGCCGATCTGTCATTATCGCCAGCATCCAGAACGGTGCCTGGCACAGGGACGTTGTCTAACATCTTTCTTGCATGGATGAATGGATACATGAATGAATGCCTGGGCGGGCCTCTGCTCTCCACTGGGACGGAGCCAAGGGGAAAGATGCCCTATTCAGCAGCCCACCTGAGACTGGGAACATGGGCAGGGGTGTCACGGAAAGCCCTCTGGCTCTTCTCCCTCTAGGGCTGGTCGTGAGCATTGGATCAGTACCGGAGACAGCACCGGTCTCTCCCCTCACCGGCCTTCCCCACGGTGCGAATGCTTCCAAGGAAGGCTCTAGCCTGGTCCCAGCAGGACTCTCTGGGGCTCGCTGTGGGGACTGGGGCCACAGGGGTCACCAAAGACACGGGGGGCCGCCTGCACTGATGGCAATACCTCGTTATTGTTGGAGAATTTCTCACAGGCCGTAACACACAGCTCCATGGTCTCCACTCGCATCTCCTCTGGCATGTCCGAGTGCTGGAGACAAGGCAGGGGACAAACAGAGAGAGCCTCAGCCTGTGACCTGCCTTCTGGGTTGGCCTCCGTCCCAAGCGTAAGGCACGGACACCGGGGAGGTGCCCTGGCACAGCCCCGGGCAGAGCCCGGAGAGATGACCCATCTCCTGACGGAATTATGCTAAGCCTCGCAGGCTCTTAGGCCCCCGGCCCCTGTGCGACCAGCGTGTTACAACGACAGACATGGGTTGAAGGCTGGCCCAGGCGGGAGCCTGCCGGCCACGGGAATGGTTTACCAGTAGCCTCAGAGCACAGCTGACGTGCCCAGAAGCCTGAAGAGATGGTGTGCCCCCTCTGAGGGCTCCGGCTTTTCCTCCTGCCCCTCTGGGCGCTCCTTCTCGGGCCACTTTGCTGATGTCTCTCCTCTTCTGGGCTTCGCCTCCACCCTCGCCTCTTCTCCAGCTACCTGCTCTCTAGGGACTCCAGCCCGCTCCATGGGTTTATGCGTCTTCTATGCGGGGAGGGTTTCCCACATGTGCATCCTTAGCTTTAACTTCTTTTTTGGGCTCCGGATTCCTATGTCCAACTGCCTACTTGACGACCTCAGATGTCTGAAAGATAACTCTTGATTTTTCCCACAAACCTATTCCTCCGTCTTTACTCTCTTGGTAATCGACAGTTTTCTCTCCCAGGCTCAGGACAAAATAAACCCTAGCAGTCACCCTTGGCCTGCTTTCCCTCGTACCCAGCATGCAATGCGCCAGTGAATTCTATTGCTCTACCTTCAAGATCTGTCCAGAATCCTACCATGTCTTGCCACCTCTACTCTGTGACCTGGACCCGGCCACCCACATCTCTCTGGGCCTCTGCAATAGCATCCTGACTGGTCTCCCCACTTCCACCCTGATTCCCTAAAATCCATTCTCCTTCCAACAGCTAGAGTGAGCTTTTAGAAATACTAAACGTAAAACACATCACAGCACTCCCACTCCTCTGCTTAAAGCTCTTTACTGTTCCCCTTTGAACTCAGGATAGAGTCCACGTTCCTCACCGTGGCCCCCAGGTCTCTGGGGCCTGGCCCTGCTGTCACGCTGACACTCACGTCCTGCCACCCCCTCAGCACCTGTTCCAGCCACACTGGCCTTCTTGCTGTTCCTCCCAAATGCTGGGCTTACTCAGGCTTTCTGTGCCTGCTGCCTCCCCTGCTGGGGGAGTGCTCTCCCCTAGACTTTCACAAGGCTTGCTCCCTAATTTTATCCAGGTCTCTGATCAGAGAAGCCTTTCTAGAAGCCATCCTCTATTCTCCAGCCCCTTATACCTGCTTCCTTCTTCTTCATAGCACTCATTACCTGAAATTATGTTCTTTAAACCTTTCTTTCATGTGGGCCAGGCCTTTGTCTTGTTCACGCCTACATCCACAGTGCCTAGAACAGTGCCCGATATATAGTAGGTGGCCTAAATAAATAATTGTCGAGTGAATGAATGAATGAGAGGATGAATCACTGTTGACCCCTCGGTCTCTAGATCTGGCCAACAGAGCCCTTCTTAACTTCCTCCCACTGCTATTCTGCAGGGGACAAGCTCCCCCTGCCTTTCTCTAAGGCTCTGTGGGGCCTGCTGGCTACCTGCCTCCCTCCTCCAGGGCTTACCCTGACCAGAGGAAAGGTCTGCAGTCGTTTATAATCAGCCTCATCTTTCTTCCCTTCTGTTTCTCCCATGATCCTTCCTCTGTGACCAGGAGGAGAGAGTGGGGCTTTCAGGAGGTGCTGGGACTGGTAATTAAGACACACCCAGGAGATTCAGGAAGCAGGCCCAGCCAGCTTGGTGGGAGCAGAAAATGTCTTTCCCCACGGGGTGCTGTAGAAAACAGGAAAAACCAGGAGAAACGAGTTGGCTTAAAAACCATACATCGCAAATTAGAAATGTCTCAGTAACAATCTGACACCTCCCCATCTCAACTCCTCTGCATCCTTTTCCAAATGGCCAGCAAGTCTGCAGACTGGAGGATGAGTCAACACGAGATGCTGGGACCCAGTTAAGAACACGTTGGTACGATGCTGCAAGCCCACACTGTCATTATCAAGACAAATACTGACGGCGGGCCAGGCTGAGGGTGGAGCCTTGAGCTCGCAATTAACGAACGTAGCTTCTCTGCATGCCCACTATGTACGCAGTCCTTGCTCCCCAGCAGACGTGGTTAGGAAGTGAGATGTCAGGTCACGTTCAACAGCCCTGGGTTTATTGGGCAAACAAGTGCCTCCTTCCGCAGGTCCCTGCTCTGTGGGACGAAGGGGACCAGCAATGCTCTGTGCCCTCCCTGGCACACCTGGCAGCCCAGCTCTTCTCATCCACTCCCTCAGGCCACCCGTCTGGCTGGCCCAGGACTTGGGAGGCTTAGGCATTAGTACCGGTCCTACTGCGCACTAGCTGCATGGCCTTGGACCTCAGATTCCTCATCAGTAACACGAAGGTAGTCCAATCTATCTCACGGGGCTCTTATGAGAATCAAATGAGGCAATGTATGCCAGGCACATGGTAGGCATTCAGTAAATTGTCCTTCCCTCCCTCTGGCTCCTGGGGGAAGCATACAAGGCTATGACTGAAAAGTTATAAAGCTAATACACATGTACAGATTTTTTTTTTCTTTCCAAATCTAGTTATGGAAAAACAGATGGGGCTTTTTCTAAAGAGATGGGCCTGGATCCTAAAAGACTGGAAGCAGTGCTGGAAATTCTGGTATTTCTCTTTATCCTATAATTCAAAGAACTTTTAATCTCAGAAGTACAACTAATACAAATAAATACAAACTGCCATGTCGTTAAGCCCTTTGTAACCATCCTTACTGGCCAAATACAGCCAAATAATGTTATTCCAGCACTTCTCACATTTCCAAATAAATTTGCTTTCAGTGCACGACCACCGAACCCTGAAGATGCCTAGCGTAGTAACTAACGGGCAACTAATGCGCAGGTAACGACGAGTGATGTCTCTCGGCTTTCCTGTGGGCCAGACACTGTTCTAAGCGCTCCACGTGTGTTTACTCAGCCCCATGCCACCAATGACCCCACGAGTTAGGGCCTGCATGAATGGAGGGTCGCTCAGCTTCTGGGTGGCAAAGCTGGGGTTTGATCTGGGCACGGTCACCCCAACCCCTCCTCACAAGGCCTCTGCACGGCACCGACACGTAGTGGGCGCCCGCACACCTGACCTCTAGGGCATGACCACCAGCACGGCTCCTGTGAGCCCAGCGGTGAGAGGAAGGTTTTATCTTCCCTTTCGGTGTCTGCTGTTCCGATGCTCACTTGACCCTTGTTTGGCCAAGCCTTGAGCTTTCTGTGCACTTTTCCTGGGCTGTGCTCTCGAGCTTATCCCACTCTCTGGTGCTGCAGAAGTCCTCAGCGCCACTCCAGGTGCTCGGCTCCCTCGAGCGAGGCTGGAAGCCTGGCACCGACCCCACGCCCCACAGCATGGGTATGTTCTGATTTCCCAGCGGACAGACAGCCCCTCTTACCTCGTTCTGGGCATTTGTACCACTCAGATATTAGCAGTTTCTGTTTGTCTCTATATATAAGCCTGCAAATTACCAAGTACAATCTCATTGTACTCTCTGCCGAAGTGTCTTATTTCACAAAAGCCAGTGAATCATTTCGTCCTTTCTCGTTAATGTTAGGGTCCCATTGCGCCCTGTCCCCTTAGCTGCCTTCGGTAAAGGCCACTTTATTGCCTCCTCTTCCACATCACCAAAGGGTGACAGATGGTGTGGGGCCACACTGATGATAAAAGAATAAGGGCTTTAAGCTTCCACTGCGTCCTGAGGTTTTCGAGTGGGAACAACTTACAATGCTGAAGGCCCCTTCCACCTGAATATTTCAACTCAATCCAATTCATCCTCTGGGCTAAAAAGCGCAGTGTGGAGGGGAGCTCGGAGGCAACTGTGCCCTCAGGGAGGTCAGGGTCTGTGAGCGCTGCTTGGACTCTGCTCCAACACATGGAATCCTGATGAAACAAGACTTCAGAGGTATTACCAAAGCCCATTCTTCAGGAACAAAGTGGAAAAGCCACTGGGACAGTTTTTTTTAGAGGGGCCATCACCTTGTGGAGAAGAGAAAGTACAGGATCACGAGGCGGAATATTAAGGCTGGAATACTAGCTCTGTAACTGAAATCAGTTCTGCCCTCTTCCTTGCTCTGCAGCCTTGGGCAAGTAATTTAACCTCCTGAGTCTTGGTTTCCTCCGTGAAATGGGATAATCCCACCTTCTCATTCTCAGAGAGCTGTCGACAGCAGCAAGTAGATGCACATGAGCGTTCTGAAATCGCGGAGCTCTCTGCGCTCATCATCACACTCTGCTCTTACAGCCACCATGTTATCAGCCAGCACTTCGTCAATATCATTCAACCACATTTATTCAGGACCACGATTGCAAATACCTTTCCTACACACTGCACGTACTCTTGGGGGTCCAAAAGGAATGAGACTCACAGAATGAAAAGGAACAGTTATAGATGATGTGTTACCAAATCCAGAGAGGTAGGAGAATTTTTTATGATGCTGTATCATTATAGTACAGCTACAGTCATTCAGCCGCGATTTTAAAACCCTGCCGATAGAATGCTACCGAAAATAGAAGAACTAGAGGTTTTAATAACCTTATAAATCTTCCATGCAAATGAGTGTGTGCCTGACAGGATCAGGCCAGGAAGAAGCTGCGCCAGATCTAAAAGAGAGCCCGTTAATAATGTAAGTGTGCCCCTGGCCAGGCACATGAATCTCCTGGGTACCAGAGCTTGACCGTCACGGGGCCTGTCCTGGCGCACAGAGCCAGTGGCAGCCTTGCTCCCTCTCTGCCCTTTATTCACCTCCTTACTGAAGGGCCCCTCTGGAGCTTTACACACCCTCGCCCATGTCTGATGCGAGGCTTCTCCTAGGCAACAGGAGGCAGAGGCAGGGCTCTCCATCTCATCCTCTTGTCAAAGCCTGTGCCCCTTGTTCTTCTGTGGCAATGACCTCAGTCACTATTTATTATTTTGCTTTTGAAGTGTTTGGGAAGAATCCTTAAGAGGGTTAGGGGATGTGGGAAGGAGGAAGGAAAAATGAATGAATTCTGGGAAATAAGGCCAAAAGTGTCAGCCAGCACCCCGACCCCCGACCCCAAGCCACTCAGCGCCTGGAACACGCTTGGCTCGTGGACCACAGCTCGCCACCCCTTACGACCTTCCGGCATCCGAGAGGTGGGAGGACACGCTTGGCGCACGGCATCGTGCTCCGCAGGCAGGTCTGACTTCACATCTCGGTCTGTCTCGGGTAAGTGTTTACATCTCTAGGCCTTGGTTTTCTCATCTGGAAACTGGGCCTAAGAACAGACTCTGCCTCACAGTAAATGTCAGCTCTTGCTACTGGTGTGGAAGGAAGGGGAAGTGCAATGCCCTTCTTCATATCCCAACCAACTAAACAGCTAAATGCTGGGCCAAACAAACCAACACTCACCGAGTTCCCCCCACCCCGCCCGGTGCTGTTAGTACTGAAGCAGGAAGGAGTCACAAGGAAATCTGGTAAACACAGTTGGGCCGGGGGCTGTGGTGTGGTGACACTGTGCTTTCACACTTACTGCCTCGTTTCATCCCATCACAACCTGTGAGGGCAGCACCCACTCCCAATTCTCAGACAAGACACTGGGGCTCAGAGAGGTTTGGGGGCTGGCCTGTGGGCACACAGCCAGCAATGACAGAGCCAGGATCGGAGCCCATGTCTATTCTTCCGATGCTACCTTCTGTGCTTGCTTTCCTGTCACAAACAAGTAGGAAACAAGACAGTAACACAAATAATGTCAATCCTCGGCAGACACTGGTCCAGCCCCCTGTCCAGGCAGGCCTCCTACTTCCAGCCGTATCGGGGCTACACACACACTGGGCACCTTGGTTATCCGCCTGCCTTTCCCTGACACGTCCGCCCACTGCCTTCTGGCAAACAAAGGGCAAAGCTCATAAGGTGAGGAGAAAGGAACCTAAGGACTTGAGAGCATTCGTCCTAGGATGTCAGTGGTGAAGTCAGGAAACAACACGGAAGATCTGGATTTCACAATCAGTTTAAAATGCATCTGGGACTTCCCTGGTGGTGCACTGGTTAAGAATCTGCCTGCCAGTGCAGGGAACACGGGTTCGATCCATGGTCCGGGAAGATCCCACATGCCGCGGAGCAACTAAGCCCGTGTGCCACAACTACTGAAGCCCGCATGCCTAGAGCCCGTGCTCCGCAACAAGAGAAAGCCACCGCAATGAGAAGCCCGTGCACCGCCAGAAAGAGTAGCCCCCGCTCGCCGCAACTAGAGAAAGCTTGCACAGCAACAAAGACCCAACGCAGCCAAAAATAAATAAATAAATAAATTTATTTTAAAAAATGCATCATCTACTATAAAAGAAAGTTTTAAGAGTAAGAAAGAGACGATCGCAGGATAAAGAACAGTCCTGCTCAAGAAAAGAGTTACCTTTCATGCACACAAAGGCTTTTTTTTTTTTCACATCACCCTTATTTTTTCTCATTTCACTGAGGTCCAGTGGAAACTTCTGATGTGTCTTAAACCAGGGGGAGGGAAGGAAAGAAAGAGGGAGAGAGGGAGAGAGAAAGATGAGGAGGTAGAGATCAAGACATTTTCTTTATGTATAAGATGATGCAATAAACAACACTGACTCATGTGCTACACCCTCATGGACATACCCAAATCCAAACATTTTTGTCAGGATACAAAGTACAACAAAAAGCCATAACTATCACAGACATCAGCTCCACAGGAGAACAGATGCTTACTACAGACAGCGGATTCCACAGTCTCCCACCCCCCACTTTCCCACCTACCTCCTCCTTTCCCACTCAAGAGAACAGATTTGAACGTAAGGGACTAAGAATGACGTTACCACAGAAATGAGTTGGAGTTAGCCCTGATTTACTTTTTTAAAAAAATCAGTCACAATCGCTAACTACTGGTGACATCTCACAACCAGTCACGACTCAGCAGTGCATCGTGAGTCCAGACAATCACCTGGGGCTGAACGACTTGCTCTGTTCTCCTGAACACCAAGAGCACCAAGTCCAATGTCTGACACATGGCAGAAGCCCAACAAATATCTAAACTGTAATTAAATTATATTTCATTTGCCCCCTGGGAAGGGAGAGGACCTATCAAATCCATTCAATAACATTTATTAAGCACTGACCCTGAACAAGACAATAGGATGGGTGTTCATTTACTCCCCCTAAGAACTCTGTTAGATGGGCACTATTATCCTTACTTCTCTGATGAACACTCAGGCTGAGAAAAGCAAAGTGACTTTCCACCAGGCTAATAAACAGAGGAGCTAGGATTCAATCAGCTATATATGACTTCAGGATTAAGCTTTTTCAACAACTCTGCTGTAAACAAGAGACAGTCTCTGCTTTCAAGGAGGATACAATCCAATATGACAGACCCACACACATACCCAAGGAATTAACTATGGTTCATGGCAGAAAGCAGTAAGTGCCACAAGCCGGGTGCAAAGATAGAGGAAATAGGAGAATTCTGGAGGGGGCAGAGGACAGCAAGAAAAGCTTGGTGGTAGGGGCAGCATTTGAGTCAGACCTTAAAAGGTGAGTGCGAATCCTGATGGGTGGACAAGGTGAGCAAAAGAACTTCCAGGCAGAGAGATGAACAAACACAGTGATGTCAAAGCAGAAAGCTCAAAGCGTTTTCTGGGAAAGTCCAACAGTCCAATTTGGCCTGAGGACAGAACTTGGCAAGGGAGAAAAGAGAAAGTAGGCTGGGAAAAAAGACTGGGGTCAGGTTGTGGATATATAGTAGGGCCCTAAGACCCAGGCTTAAGAAGTATGGATATTTTTAGTGGAGAAAGAGAAGCCTTTTGGAAGTGTCTTGGGGGCTGGTGACATGGTTGTGTTTTTGGGGCAATTATTCTGGTGGGCTGGGTTAACAGGAGGACAGACTGGAGGTACGAACACCAGTTAGGAAGCTACAGCAATGGCCCGGGTGACAGGCATTAAAAACTTGAACCAGGACGGTGGCTTTAGGCATAGAGAGAATGTGAGACCCTTGCAGCGGCACAATCAAAGACTTGACACTGCCTAAGTGGGATGGGCGTGGCAGAGTGACGGAGGATGCCCCAGGAGGATGGTGATGCCACTGAGACAGACAGGGGAAGTCAGGTAGAACAGATGGATAGATAAAGACACGGGCTGGTCTGATTTTTGAACTCCTGAGTTTAAGCTGTTGGTGAGATACACAAATGGAGGTGTCTCATCAGGAGAAGGGAATCATGGAATCATGGATTATCAGGGCAGGAGGGAAGCCATCAAGCCCAAGCACCACAGCAATATATCAATCTCTACTCCAACCCCCACTCCCAAAGTCTCCCTAACCATGGAAGCCCAGGAGAAAGATCAGAGCTAGAGATGTGGATTTGTAGGAGAAACGGAGAAATGACAGCTGACCATAAGGGAGCTGGTGACACTTCTCAGACGGGGAAAATGTGCGGAAATAAGAGACAAAGGAAGGAAGTTCATATTACCCTCAGAATCCCCAAAGGAGATGTGTTGCAGTATCCTAACTCTATATATACTCAGACTGGACTCCAGAGAGATTACGTAACTTGCTAGGGTCCTGTAATTGGGAATCCAAATTAGGTTTGCCAAGTCCTTTTCACTGCACCCGAAACTTCCCAAAAGGACCACAGCGTCAGGGAAGCCTACAGTTGGGTCAAAGAATCACATCCTAGAACGTCAGCGTCAAAGAGACCTTAGAGAACATTCAACCTAACTTCCCGTTTACAAATAGGGACACTGAGGCCAAAAAGGGAAATGACCAGCCTCGAGTCCCAGCACGTCGTCAACTGCCCAAGTCAAGCGGTCTGGGTGGAGGCGATGGCGACCACCGGCCCACCCGCGGGAGGAGGGGGTTACCCTGCGAAAGATAGGGGATCAAGGCGCGAGGAGGAGTTGGGTTAGGGAGGACGGGGGATCGTGAAGCTGGAGGGGACCTCGGGAGGGTAGGGAGGAGCGGCCTGCAGAGCCGCGACGGCGAAACTGTCTCGACAGAGCTCGCAGGTCCCCGAAGTGGTGGTGGAGGGAAATGGGGGTTGGGAGGACATGGAACTGGGGACCAACAGGCAGGAGGCTGAGGTGGGGCCTCCGCGGTGGGCGAGGCCCCGCCCGCCCCGCAATGCCTCCCGGCCCCGCTTCGGGCCGGCCCTCCCCGCCCGGCTGCCCACCGCTCCCCCGGGCCTCACCTGCTCCCGCGGGGGCCGGAGCCAGGGCCTCAGCGAGCGCACCCCCGCCAGGGTTGTCAAGGAGGGAAACAAGAGTGTCTTAGCAACAGCAAGGAAGTCTTGCCCCCTCACCGGACGTTGACGGAAATTTTACTTCTTATTGGTCAATAAAAACGTCAATCAATGTTGAAGGGCCCACAACGTATAGAGATTTGTGCGGAAAGGGGCGTGGCTTAGAGGTTGGGGAGGTGGGGCTTCACTTATAGTTGTCTTAAGTGGGCCTGAGGAGCCGGGCACCTTAAGAAGTTCTCATTTTAGAGAAACTTTGAAAAGCAGTATTGCCTGGGGAGTTTCTTTTAGTCATTCGAAATAACAAATGCAATTTGTCGGTGTCGTGACCCTAAGATGCCACTTTATTGGGATCTCAAAAGCCTAATATTAAGTAGCATTATGTAGGGCTTTTACAATGAGTATCGCACCTGATTCTCACCACAATGAGATGTGGTTACGAATGCTATTCGAATAGTATTCGTAACCACATCCATCTGAACTAAGGTTCAGAGAGGTTAAGTAGCTTGTAAAAGGAAAAAATCAAGGTTAAGTTCCTGGAGAAGGAACCCAGGGGCTCTTGCACAGCAGCACACCCTCATATAGTCCTAGCCCGTGGGAGACATTGTACCATCTGACCTAAAGATACCATTGTCCAGAGCCTGCCTTTTCTTTCCCTTAGGAGAAATTAATCTGAACATATGAGTACAACTAGGGAGAAGGGAAAGGGGGGAGGGGAGAAGAACCTGCAGATTCAATTATTTGATTGGTGGATCAAAGGGTCAGTGGGGCGCTCCATATTTTAACCATTTACCCTATCATGATGGGTACTTAGGGTGGAACCCCACTTCACATTCATTGGCATTTACTGGGAACTCAGCCCTGGCCAGGTGCTGATGATTCAGAGGGGAGTAAGATGAGGACCTTGGTCCCAGAGAAGGCACAGTCCAGGGTGGGGAAAGTCATGTCAACAAATAGATAGAGAGTAATTCATTCTACCTGTGCTCTGGTAGAGGTGTGGGCAAGGTGCCGGTTCTCTCCTAGGAGGGAGGAACTAACTCTCGGAACAGGTGGTGCTTGAGTTGGCTGAGTCTAAGATGACCAGCGGCTAGGAGGGTACACACAGTTCACTGGGGAACTGCTGGTGGCTCCATGAGGCCTGGGTACATGATGAATGTGGTGCAGGTGGGAAGGGGGATGGTGAAGACAGTGGAAGGGAAGATGCAGCAGGAAGTAGGGTTTTGAATGCCAGGTTCAGAGAAGTGAGGTGAGAGTGGGGGAAAGTAGCTGCTGGAGGGTTTTAAGTAGGGCAGAAACATGGGCAGATTTGGGTTATGGAAAGATCACTTGGATGGAGAAGATGGTAGACTGGATTTGGAATGGGTAGGTGACGGCAGGCACAGCAGGTTTAGCTTTGAGACTTGGAAGCTTGAGGTGCGCCAGGCCTTTGCCGATTCCCAGCTTGCCTCCCTGGTGTGTTCTGAGGGTCCACGGGACATGTGACTCAGCCTCCAGATTTCCTCAATCCTCTTTGCCAAGTTTCTCCAAGAGATGGAAGGTGGCCTTTGAGGGGGATGAAGCTCTTGCTTCCGCCTCTGATCCAAACTTCTCCCCAAAGGGGTCCATATTTGCTGTCTTCTCTTTCTCACCTCCCATTCATTCTTCAGCCCACTGCAATCTGGCTTCCACTCCCACGACACCACCAAAATTCCCTCTTCCATGGTTACCAGTGACCTCCTGAAGAGTAGAATCCAATAGACCCTTTTAGTCTTTATCTTAGTGGACCCATCCCCGTGCTGGCATAAATCTGTCGACTACACCCATCTACGTGAAATTCTCCACCCCAAAGATAATGCCTGCAGAGCTCTTTACAATGCAGATTCCAAGGCCCCAAAGTATCAGAACAGTGAAGGGCAGTAATCTGTATTTTTCACAAGCACCCCTGGTGCACACTCACCATTGAGAATCACTGCTCTATCCTAACACCTGGGGCACCTCATTCTCCTGGGTCTCCTCAAAACTCTCTTCCTTTGATCTCTGTGCCCACCTTGACCCTCGTCTTATCGATGGTCTCAAATTCCCTCCTATCCTAGGTCACCTCCTCATCAGCAAGAGTTTCCCTTGGTCATGCTGCCTAGAGTATTTACTGGAATTGAGGGTTGGGTGTGTATTTTGGAAAACCTCTCTGGTGATTCCAAACACTCTTCCAGGGAGTTATGCCACCCCACACACATCTTGTTGAGAATTGCTACCTTAAGGACAGTCCTTTGGGGATCTCATCCACTCCCACGGTTCCATTGTCAATGTCCTTGTAGATTCTGATGGCTCCTGAGTTTCTCTCTGCAGATTAGGCCTCTCACTGGAGATACAGGCCTAAATATCCAAATGCCCCCTGGCCATCTCCACCAGAATGTCCCACAAACCCTTCAAACTCAGTGTCCCATAGTGAATCCATCTTCCTCCAACTTGATCTCTTGCATCCCCGTCTCAGTCAACGGCACCACCACCACCTGCAGTTGCCTCCATCAGAAATCATGGAGTCTTGTCCTTCCCCCTTCCCCCTTCCCCCTACCATCACCCACCCCAAATCAATCACAAGCCTGCTGATTCTAACTCCTATGTCCTGATTACAGCCCCTTCTGGCCGTCTTCATGGCACTCCTCGTGTGCACAGCGCCATGATCCCACCTGTATTATTGCAGTAAGCTCCTAATAGGAGGACCTGACCGCAGTCTTGCCCTTCTCTAATTCACCCTCTATACCACAGTCAATGCGATACTCCTAAAACCCAAATGTCACCACTGCATTCCTCTCTTTAACAACTGCTTCCCTCCCTCCACAGTTCCCCAGCGCCCACCAAGTGACATCCAGATGCCACGACCTGGCATTCAAGCCTGTGGCGTGGCCCGTGGGCACCTCCATCTCCTTCTTGCCTCTCCCTCCCCTGTGCTTTATGCTCCAGCCACTCCTGCGCTCATGGCTCTCCACACACTCCACACTGTTCCTCACCTCCCTGCAATTGCTCACGCATCCTCTCTGCCCACATTCTTCCTCTGCCCGTCCGTCCCTCCTTTTTTTTTTTTTTTTTTTTTTT